AGAAAGAGACCTCCCATCCCTCAACATCCATACTCATAATAAAGGGGTTCATGGCTCTTAGAAAAGAGTTAGGCAGGAAAGTTAGGTAGAGGGTTTCAGTTCTGTCTGCAGACACTGAGGCCATCCTATTCTAGAAGGGGTCCACCCTAGTCTGCCCACAATTAAGCAAGCCATAAAGCATTTTTAGGATAAAAGTAACTTCCACAAAGAAACAAGCAGAGAATTAGGTACCAGTTTAAGCGAGTCAGTCACTCGCACCTGCACAATGATGACCCCAATGACCTTCTACTCACCTAAACTTCATTATACCATCATAATATAATGCATATGCCTAGAAGTTCATTAATATCATTATAACAGATTGAATTCTGGGAACAAACATGCACAGAAAGAAAATGATGAATCACTGAGTCCTGTCAATCTTAGCTGTCAATCAAGGAAGCTCACTCCTCTATGAAAAGTAACCACCCACAGCAAATAGAAATAAAAACCCCAAAGGCTTTGTTACCAGGCCTTTTGAGCCACGCTTCTCTTGCTCAGGCCTGCTTCCATGTCTGGAAGTGTACTTTTCCATCTAATAAAGCTTTTCTTTTCTGCTGTTATTTCGGTGCATTGCTCAATTCTTTGTTTGAGACATCAAGAACCTTAGCAACGCTCCAGGAGAGGATTCCCATTCTCCAGTAACAGTATGTTTAAGCTAGCTGCAATAATTTTTTAGTAATTAAAAAAAGTTATGCCAATGATGAGGTTCCAGAGCTAGCCTACTACAGACATCATGAACTAATTGAGAGTTCTGCATACTGAAAGAGGGTAATGTAGTTTAGCACGGCAAGGAACTAAAATTTTTTGCTTCATCACTGTAAGAATTTTCTTTTGAAACGCACTACACACATCACACATGCACACATATACATACGCAGGTGTACTCATGCATGCACAGTTCTCTGATTCTTTTTAGTACAACCTTTCTTCCAGTGCTTCCCTATCTTTTGGACTACAATCAACACTCCTTCTTCAAAGATAGGGCCACTTAAAGATCTTTCCTTACCTGAAATTACTTCTAAATTATTCTCTACTGTCAAAATTCCCTTTAAAATTCCAGATTCTTTGTAAAATTTGCTTGTTCAAAAAGCAAAATAAGACTAAGCAAAGGCACCAAAGCCTTTTCTTGTAAGTACAGGCCACACTCATCTGCATACCTTCACGTTCCCTTCCTGTCTCTCTCCAAAGTACTCTCTCCCAAGTCACCTCTTGGTTCTACATCCAATGTGCAAATTTTTAATGTATATCTTTCTCTTTTGTTGTCATTTACTGGAGTTTATCTTTCTTAATTTTAGTTTCTGGTTTATTTTTATGGGCCTAAACCTACTTGTGAGGAGCCCTCTCTGCACTGAAAGTGTTGTCACTGCTTGTCTTATTGTTTTAGGTGTAGGGTTAGTTGAGTAGGCAAGTGAAACCAAGAGGAGTGGTAATAAAGAACTATTTGCAAATTGGGGCCATGAGAATGATTACAGAGGTTGGAGACAGAACATGGGATGGAGGTTAGAATTCTAAAATTATTTCAGAGGATGACGGTGGAGCAGTCTGACATTGGCTAAAGTGGCAAGGCTAGGACAGGCCCAGGGTTGGGAAATTTTGCTGGGAGATTCATAGAAGAATCAATACAAGAAACACTGCGGCCTTTGCATCTCTAAACTGATCCGTGAAGCTTTTTGTCTCAATAGTTACATTATATCTATCAATGGACACATTTTATTCCCGATTGTCACCTTTGCAGAATTTGATACTTTTCATCATTTTTTCCACCCCATTCTTCACTTTTTCCTTAAAACTTTTCCTCCCTTAACTTTTGTGACTATACTTCCTCTTGCTTTTCCTTCTGACTTGGTTTTGTTTTTGGCTCTTTGTTATATTTGTCCTTTTAATGTTACCCGCTGTGTTTTTCCTATTGCACATGTGCCTGGAATAACTACTTTCAAGCTTGAATTAAGCTTGTGATTTACATACTATATCTTAGTTTTAGACGGCTCCCCTACATTCTTTCAGGAACTTGTCCATAATAGGTCTCAATATGTTGTTCCTTCCTCACAAAGTTACTCTTCCTTCTCGTTTTTTGGTCCTAAATTATGGCACTATTAAAGAATGCCCCAGGCCAGGAACATAAATTCCTTCTGCTTTACCACCAACAGTAGAACCTTCTAAACCAGTTGTTCTCAAAGTGGGATTCTCAGATCACCGGCAGAAGCATTACCTGGGAATTTGTTAGAAATTAGAATTTTCAGGTCCCACTCCCAGACCTAGTACATCAGAAACTGTGGGTTTCTGGATCCAGCAATCTGTTGTAACATGTCTTCTAGGTGATTCTGATGCACATTAACTAGTGGTGGTTAATCTTAAGGACCCATGGTTGGGCTTCAGGAGGACCAAAAAGCCCCTGTAACTGTCTAAAACCGATTGTATATCCACATAGTTTTTTCTGAGTGGATAGCTTTTATTCCTTTTATTTTCAAATGGGTTCAAGGAATCCCATGTTTGGGACTGTTCCTTTCTTTCCGTTACTACCACCACTTACCCTTTGATCTAGTCCCTTTGCCTCTGGTTTGCATCCCTTTCAATGCATCTCCATGCAGCAGAGATAATGATCATTCTAAAATATGAATCTGACCTAGATCACTCTCCTGCTCAAAGGTCTTCAATGCCTCCCAACAGCTTATGATAAAGTAATCTCTTAGCATGATAAACACCTTTCATCAAGGTTTATCTTTATATGCATCTCTAGTCATTCTCAGCCTTTGGTCTAGCAATAATGAACTTTGAATATTCTGGATCTCACTTGGGCTCTCCGACCTCCCTGCCTTTGTATACTCTGCATGCTCACTTTGGAAGGCCCTTCACTACTTCTCTCTCCCTTCTTGCCAGGCTAATTCCTATTCATTTACGATTCCATGCAAGCAACATCTCTTCTGGGAAGTCTTCAATTAGGACTAAGTTTAAGTGGCCTTCCTATAAGCCCCCAATTCTCCCTGTGCTTATCCATCTGGTAGTTCTCAAATATTTTGGTCTTAGGATCCCTTTACCCTCTTAAAAATTACCGAAGACCCGATGAGATTTATAGGCTATCTATATTTACCATATTCAAAATTAAATCTGTGAAATTTAATATTTTAAAGCTCATTTACAAATAATTATAAACCCAATGTGTTACTGTAAATGTATTTTTATGATAAAATGATATTTTCCAAAAGGGTTTTGAGAAGAGTGGCATTGTTTTACATTCTTCAAACCTCTTTAATGTCAGGCTTAATAGAAGACAGCTGGATTCTCATATCTGTTTGTGCATTCAATCTGTTGTGATGCTTTGGTTGAAACATATGAAGAAAACCTGGTCTTACACAGATAGGGAGTTTGAAAAGGGAAAACCGTTTTCACAGCCTTTTTAGATAATTCTAGATATCCTTTGATTCTACACCAAACTTGATCTATGGTAGTTTCTTAGAGTGCAGTTGCAATGTTGACCGAATCTGAAACCATACCAATAAACTTTTTGTATTCTGCTACACTAAAATCCATGGGTCTTACACTTTCATGACTTTTTAATTTTGTAATAGCATGCATTTGGTTATTTTGAAAATAGTTGTTCATTGAGTTGTAGAGATCTTCTCAATGTTACATACTTCCTTATAATGTAAAAAATAACATTTGTTAACATCACTGCTATTTTTAGCGGAAAAGGCTTTAACTACTAGAAAGCTGTCAAGCTTGTGATGGATATAAGTTTTACAAAATTTGGATTTTGGTGTGAAAACTCAATCATATAAATGCTTTTTCTGGAGACTACCATCTTACTTCGGCATGCAGCAGAAGTACTTACCATGTCTTTACGCATATTAAATGTTTATGCTAGGGTGAAGATTTAATAAAATTAATAATTTTTACTCCTTTGTCAAGTCATTCTTAAGTTAAACTAGCTTATTTTAGAAATCTTAAAATTTTGCATGCTATGAGTGCAAGGAAGTGAAGAATACTAAATCCTGCTATTAGTGAGAGCATTTTGGTGCCATTGCCTTGATTCCTGCTAGGATGCCATCAGTTTAATGTATTATTGCTTTTATACTGTTAACAAAACTAAAAAAGTAAACCAAATCTTAGTATTATAAAAATTAACCTTGCATACCCATTGAAAGTTGCCTTTAAGCCCATTAAGCTTCTGCAGATGGCATTTTGGGAACAGCTGCCCGTTTCACATACTATTGTTACTTGTCTCTCAGTAGGTTACAAGTTCTATGTGTATTGACTGTAACTGTCTTTTATTTGCCCTTGTATAACAACGTCTGGTGTATAAAACAATGATTATTAATACCTGCGCAGTGAGCGAATAAATGACAAGTTATAAACAACGACCACATAGCCCTCATCTTATTGCCTCTGTCCTTAATAATTTGTTTTGTAAAATTTTCCACGTTTTTCCACAATTATGATGCTGGCCAATTTTTACAATAGTTGGGGCGGGGGAACTGCCTGTATACAATAATGACGCGTTATAGTTTGATCAACTATCTGTGATGACTTAAGAGTCATTCCGCCTTCGCAGTTCCGGACAAGCAGACCAGGCCTTGTCGTTCCCCAGTCTTACCCAGAGACCGGAAAGAGGTGGGTCTCCCACGTTTATAGGAGCACAAGAATTCGACCCAATGGTAGCCGGGTTAAAAAAGAATCCCTAAAAACCTTAAAGAGGAGAAAGTTGATAGAGCAACAGCCTCACGAACCGGGAGCCCCAGGCCGCAGCCTCGCGAGAGCCGTCCGGTTGCCGGAGCGACGCTTCCGGCCGGCGCGCGCAGCCCTGGGAGCAGAGGAGTTGGGAAATGGGCGGCTAGACCTGCCCGCCGCCTTGCATTCGCCAGCAGGAGCGCGCTCGCGGCCGCGCGCTCTCCGCTTTCCCGGCTCCGTCGCTGACGCGTCGTAGACGTTGGGAAGTGGGAGGGAGCGGCAGCCGGACCGGGATGAACAGCGGCGGCGGCTTCGGTTTGGGTTTAGGCTTCGGCCTCACCCCTACGGCGGTGATTCAGGTGACGAATCTGTCGTCGGCGGTGACCAGTGAGCAGATGCGGACTCTTTTTTCCTTCCTAGGAGAAATCGAGGAGCTGCGGCTCTACCCCCCGGAGTAAGTGCTCGAGCTCGACTGGGGGAGGGGCGAGGGCGCCATAGAGACCTGGGGAACCGAGGCGCGGGGCAGAGGGTGGAAAGGGGCGCGCGGTGTCCGCCACGTGACCGCCCGGGCTTACCTTGGTGCCCACGTTTGATTAGGGGACCGGGGCCCGGAGCCCCTCGGTCCCGCTCTGCTTGTTAGTGGGACATTAAGGTTTATATCTCTGCACCGATCCCTTACAAAGGTTGCCTTTTTCGTGCCTCCCCGACCTTGTGGTCGCCGCCGAGTCCACCAATTCGGTGCCTCCCCCTCCCCTTTTTTTCCCCCCGAACTTAAGATGGCCGCAGGTGGGCCCCGAATAGTCCTCTCGGCAAACGCCTGCCCTGCAATGTGAAATTCGCAAAGACCGCCTGAGAAATTGTCCAGTTCTAAGGGCCTCGTGTCAGGCCGTTATTGCTGCGGGGAAAGCCTGGAATTAGGGCTGTATTTGTTCCCAGGGTGGTGTTCACAAATTTAGCATCATCTTGGTTACTTTAACAAGATCATATCGATTCACCCTTTTGGCAGCAGATTAAAATTTCTTCTGGAAGGTCACACTGCCCTAAACCTTCCAGAAAAAAGTATTGGTCAGTGCAGGATTATCTCTGCTGTGTACTCTTAAAAAAGTCCGGATTTTGACTGGCATTCATAGGTCGTGGACACATTTTTTAAGTAGTGTATTTTGATTTCCGTTGTGCAGTACTATTTACCCACAAAATTTGTAAGGGATTTGTGGGTTGTTCAAATTCTTACACGCATAAACTTTTTAAAGAAAGAACTTAGAATCTTAAAATTCCCAGTATTTTGTTTATCCTGTCAAAATCTTTTGAAAGAAGGGAGAGTAATTGTCCAAGATTTCTTTTTTAAAAATTTGTATTTGATTTTTGCTTTATTTCATAGTGATGCATGCAGATCTATTTTTAGTTTTCTGAGTATATCTCATTGCTACTGCGTAGGTATTGACAAAAGTTGGTATTTGGATTTTAAATATTTACTTTTTAAGGTTTTTTCCTCCTTTAGTTTTTGCTCTGAAGTAATTTGCTCTGCATACAGCAAAGTTGAAAGAACACTCATGTTCCCTTCACCTGCATTCATCATTTGCCACAGTTGATTTTTCTTTCCCTGTGCTCCTCCATCTCCACTTCTGAGCACATTCACACTCCCTCCTTCCTTTCCTTTTGAAAGTATGTAGTTGTAAACATCAAGACTATTGTTCTAAATTCAACTACTCAACACTTAAGTATCTACCTCTTAAGAAGAAGTACATCCTCCTACAGTACCACCATATTAACATGTCCAAGAAATTTAACATTGATAAAATAATATATTACATAGTTTATATTTAAATTTGCCAAATATTATAATGATTTTTTCTTTTTCTTGCTCTAGAATGTAATCAGAGACTACCCATTGCATTTAGTTATCTCCATTAGTCTAGAACAGACCCCTGTCACCTTTGAAAGTCTTTCATGATGGTATTTTGTCTTGTAGTTTGTTTTGTAGAATGACTCAATATGGGTTTATATAGGTTGTTTCTACATGATTAGATTCAGGTGATATATTTTTGTCAAGAGTACTTCGTAAGTGTATGCTCATACATCATTGTTGACTGTGGCATATAAGCTTTGAATATCTTATTTAACTTTTGAAAATACTTTCAGCTATCTTTTCATTTAAACACTCAGAACATTTCTTAATAATTGAGAAATGCTTGGAGGAGTGCTATATCCTGCAAGAATTGGAATCAAGCAGTAAAATATTTTGTATACAAACCTTTGTAAACTAACCTTGGTTGTGGTAATAAGGTGTCTTACAGGTAGAAGAAATATATCATAGAATATTCTTCATTACCAACATAATACCACTTACATAGTTGAAACCTGGCCTTAGGTGGCAGTATGCTGCTAGTTATTATCTAACACTTAATGGGCTATTTTTTGAAATCAAGTTTTAATTACAATTTAAAAGTCAAAGAAAATAAAAAGTTCTTAAACATGGTGCATTAATATGGAGTGCGTGTGTCACAAACTGTAATATATTTTGCAAAATTGTAATATTAATATAACATGTGGGCCAGGCAAAAATCCTCAACCAGTTTTTCTTACCATAAGTGTAATCTCTTATTCCTGTTTTTCAAAAATATTGACATGCTTTACTAATGGGTGTTTTTTGTTCTGTAATGAAGTCATAACACAGTCCTTATATTAAAGATGTGTTTGAAAATTTGAGCTGAAATGAGTAAAAGTGCAATAGTAGTAGAGTTGAAGACAGATTATTGTATTGCAGTGTCACAGAAAGTTTTTATGATTAATCTTTGGAAATTGGGTAGAAATTTGTTTTAAATTTGGAAATACATTTCCTTAGTAGAATGTGAAAATAGTTTCTTATTAACATTTAAATAATTTAGTATGAAAATTCAGATTTAAAATTTTTTCGGCATGAGGCAGTGATTCAGTTTTTAAACACTAAGAACTAGTGTTGTAAACATTCATTGTAAACATTAAAAATTCTTATTTGTCATTTTTTTTGTGCTGCCAGATGATGTGTCTGGAATTTCTCTTTTAACTTTTTGTATAATAATAAATGAATCTCATGTATTTACAGCCTTTTTACAGCAGTAGGAAATCTTTTTATCAAGGTAAAACATGCATACAGAAAAGTGCCTGCATAAGTATACAGCTAATGAATTTTCGCAAAGACATAACTATGCAGCCAACACTCAGATCAGGGTTATCTACACCCTAAAAGTTACCCTGTGCCTCCTTTCAAAGGGTAATCCTATTTTGATTTCTACCACCATTTCTAACAACACCACCTGTGTTGATTTTTTATTTTGCTTGTTGGTTTTCTTCACTTCAAAAGTACTAATAAGAAAGATAAAATCTGTCAACTACTTTTTCAAGTTCATTTAGTTAGAAAAATTAATATAACCAGGGTAGTCACTTTATGAGAAATAGAGAAAAAGAAACACCACCTGTGATCCTATCACCCTCTCAAAACCTCTCACCATTTCCATGTGTTTCCTCCAGTCCTTTTTAAATACTTTTTTTTTTAATATGGTGTAATCAAAGGATTTATACACTGTGTAATAAGCATTTTTCATATTGCTGTTTTATTTATAGTAATATTTAAAAACATCTTTCCTAAGCGATTGTGTATTTTTGAAATACTCTTATTGGAGATTATATTGGTTGCCTTTTTGTGTGTGTGTGTGTCACGTCAGTGAATTTTAGCTAGAAGAATTTGAAAATGCTTACTTTTGATTGTCACCCATGATTGTAGGGCTTTCTGGCATTCATAAGAAAGCCTTATACAAGGAAGAATTGTGCCATCCAGAGTAACACCAGAACCCTACCAAGAAACCTTGTTAAAATGTGTTAGTATTTTCATAAATACACTAAACTATATAACTACATAAAAGGTATATAAAACTATGTACTTTGTCCATGTTTTGGACTATATCCTTTTTGATAGATCCTCAAAGAGTATATATTAATATAATAAAATATTGGACATATTATTACCACATTGACTTTTTAACAGATTGTACAGCGTCATCACCATGTTTAATGAAAAACAACCAGTTAGGACCCAGGAAATTATGATGCTCAAAAAGTTAGTTTTCTGATTTCTGCATGAAACTCACCGTAAGAAATAACTGATTTTTTTTTGAGAAACGATTGTAGAAAGTTTTATATTAAAAAAAAAAAAAACTTGGTTCAACAAATGAAGTCAAAATAAAATATGCTTCCTTTAGAGGCATGTATTTAGACAAATGAAATAAGTAACCCCCTTTTAAAAATTAAAACTGTAGTTCAGAATTACATTTTAAAGTTATAATCCTATTTAGTTAAAAAACAAATCTAATAGCTTGGATATGCTAGAGAGAAAACTATAAGATTTGGAAACATACTGATTAATAGATAAAATACATACTGAGACATTTTTACTGATACATGTTTACTGAGACATTCATCATAAGTATTTAGATTTATCACTGTATCATATTTTATCCTGTAATGTTCAAAAAGTGTTACTACCTTTCTTGAAAAGCTCAAATGTTTACATTTGCATGAAGTAAATATAAAAATATAAGTTGATCTTTACTCTGTATTTTAAGGAAGGCAATTGGAGATGAAGGTGAAGAAAATTGCTTAAAACAGTGGTGTTGCCATGTCTTCTAGTATCCACACTCCTATGATGATGCTGTTCAAAACAGATCTGAATTTTTTAATTGGTTCCTGGGCTTCTCAAATCTTAGCGACATGTCTTAACATGTAGTTGCTTTACTAACCAGGCTCACATTTCCCATACTTGTTTTCAATTTGAAAAGATAGGGGTTTCAAGTAGGGCTATTTGGAAATGTGTTTTTAGTTTTTAACAGTGATTATTTAGGTTTTCATTATTTCACAAAAGGATCTGCCAGTTTAGGAAATGTAGTTACAGTGGGTGGCTTGTCAGATTCTGGAAGATTTCAGTGCCTAGGGAGTATACTTGTTGCAATTGCTAGGGCTTCAGTAGTTCATTGTAATCATAGATATTTTTGGTTGCAAAAGACAGAGTACTCAAGAAAAGACATTATTGAAAAGATGGAGTTTTCCTTAAATTGGAGAACAAAGACTAGCATAGCCAGGCCTCATGGAACCTGCAACTGGTAACCAGAGAGGTATCAGCATCCAAGCTATAAAGCCTCTTCTCGGAGGTTTTGTCAGCTCTGTTTCTGTGTATCTGCTCAATATTGTTACACATCTATTCTGTACTTGCTCATCTGGCATCTGGCCCAAGCCCTGACTCTTAAGTGACTTTCCAGCCCAAGAGAGAGAATCTGATTGTTTCCAGTTAATTTGGTCAAGCCAAACAAATTATATGTTGCTGGTTAGCCAGTGAAATGGACTCTGGTGTCATGGCTAATCAGTTGTGGCTAGAAGCTTACAAGATCTGTTGAGGGTTTCACATAAGAAAGCTGATAAGGCTTGTGCTGAAACTATATGAATGTCTTGGTAGCACATAAAGGAGGGGTACCTAATCATTTAGCTATCTTAAAATGGCTTTCTAGAAGACTGGAAACTTGATCCCTGAAGAAAAGTGGAATTACCATTCAAAGGAGTTGGAGAGAACATAATTAAAAAATGGAACAACATTACAAAGATGGCCCAGATGTTGTGGGAGCTCCAAGTATTTTTATGCCTGGATTTTGGGGTACATTTAGATGATAAAGTAACAACAGAGGGGTGTCTTTGAGGAAATTTAAGGTGGAGTGACATGAAATTTAGGGTTTAGAAAGATCACTCTGGCAGTTTTGTGGAAGACCATTAATATGGAGTTGAGATTGGAGGTAGTGTTTTAGGAGCCATTTTAGTAATACAGATGAGAAATGATGGCCTGAATTAAGGTATTAATAATGAGAATGATGAAAGGATTAATGTGACAAATATTTGGGGGGCAGCCTTCACAGGATTTAATGAATAATTGGATGAAGAAGAGAGAAGGGTCAGGAATGAAAACAACCCTCAAAACTCAGGAGTTTGATAAAAACATTATTTCTTATACTAAACTGGTAGAGAGGAAACTACTCATTGCGGTCACTCTGCGTTGAAGCTGATGTATCAGCCATCCATCTCGCGAATGTTGCTGGTGCCTGTGGCAGAGGAAAAGAGCTAACTAAACAATGGTCCTTAAAAGCTACTAAATAATGGCACATCAGTTCTGATATTTAATTGGCCAGAGCAAGTGGCATGGCTACACTTCAGAGAACAAAGAAATGGAACATTACCATGTAACCAGAAGATTTGGAAATATTTGGTAAACAGTACTAATGGTGGTCACATTAGTGACTCCCAGTTTCTGACTGGTAATGTGGTGTTTGTCTTTTAACTGAGATATGAAGTATAGGACAATGGGCGGGACTGGTGAGGAAGGAGAATGATCAATTTTAAGACTCAAAAGTTAAAGGTGGGTCCTGTGACTATCAAGGTGTATAATATTCCAGCAGGCACTTAAATCTGGAACTCTAGATAGAGCTCAGGAGAGGCCTAAATTGGAGACTTGGTAATGTAAAGGTGAGTTAAGTCTGGATGTGAAATGTATTTACCTCAATAACAAATACAGGTAGTGCTTGACTTAGATGTTGAGTAGGAGGATTGTTCGAGTGGGCTGGCCTGAAGCCTGAATTGATGGCCTTAGGCAGGAGTGAATTGAGTTGAGTTGCTTTGGGTGAGAAAAGAGGTAGAGTTTTATTTTTATTTTTGCAACTTTTAATTAGCCTGACTAATTAATATATAAATAGTTTCAAGTTCTAAATGCAAAAACATTTTATTATCACAGTTTGATTAATAGCATAAATATGTATATTTAACTGTTATCAAGGTGGATTTATATGTGAAAGATTTTTTATCTTAAAAATGATGAATATTTGTGGAATTAGTAATTAAATAGTACATTAAAATTGTTTTAAAATTCTTCATTAGTTGAATGATAGTTTCCATGAGATTTGGAATTAGATTATTAGACTTTAAGTCCTATTTTGCCATTTACTAGATCTAGGACAATGGTCAACTTCCTTGACCCGTTAATTATTTATTTTTGTAAATCTTTATTTTTCACCTAGAGTTTGACACTTGGTATTATTTTATTCTTTGATCTGTTTTGTAAACTAAATTATTGTTATTGCACAAGGCATATGTGATATTTTTCAAATGATCTCTTAGTATGAAAAATCTTAATGTTTTAGAGTATTGTACATTTGTTGCATATTAGGTGTTTGTCTAGTTTGGGTATTTTTTTCTAGCTAAAAGTAGTTAAAAATTTCAATTGAAAATGATTATGGACAGATTGACAAAATGATCATCCATGAAGATAGTATATTTTGGAATCTAATGAGATGGATTCATATTATGGAAAATTGCTTTAATCTGTGCTGTGTCTCGCTTTTTTCCTATAGGCTTGCCTTTGAGTGAACTGAATCTAGTAATAAGGGTTATAGGACTTAGTGTTTTCCTCTTTTGCATATAAAATCTGTAAAATTTTGTTTGTAAAATCTTTCGTTTGGAAAATCACAAAGCATTGACGTTGCTTGAAGTAGTCTAATATATGCAAAAGACCTTAATTTTAATTCCATGTTATTTCATTTTTTCTAATACTGTTAGGAAGTTTTTAGTAATTTAAATGTGCTGGGGAAATCACAGAAGGAAGGGTTGGAAGTGGTTACGAAGTTTGAAGTCTTGAGGGTTGAGGTTTTTGCCTATTGATGACAGTACACTGGTTGGACATCTTTGGGTTAAATCAACTGTTTTCACGTTTTGCTCAGATTAAAAATTTACTAATTTAAGTTTCAGGTTTTTACAAATAAGGCTATAGGCCTGCCTAGATTTGCCTTGCAGACAGATTACCATTAAAAGAGTTAAGTTTTGCCATCTCGTGTCTTAATATCCTTAGCAACAAAAATTCTTGTTTTGATTATGTAAGATTATGGGGAGCGCTAAGAAAAATTAATGAAAATGACAAAACCAACCAAATGTTTATTAGTCTGATTATTATTTTTTTTATCTTGCAGCAACGCACCTCTTGCTTTTTCTTCCAAAGTATGTTATGTTAAGTTTCGTGACCCATCAAGTGTTGGCGTGGCCCAGCATCTAACTAACACGGTTTTTATTGACAGAGCTCTGATAGTTGTCCCTTGTGCAGAAGGTTGGTATCTCACATATTTTTTTCTTTTATTTTAATCTCTGCTCTGTCTGTTACTGCCTTTGTTAGTAGAAATTGGCAAGTAGCTAGTATTGTGTGTGTGTGTGTGTGTGTGTGTGTGTGTGTGTGTATGAAATCTGGAGAAGGAAAGAATTTTTAATAAAATATATTAAAATGGCTCTTATTTAAGTTTGAGAAATAGCTTGAACATTTAAAAATTTGTAGGTTACTCGACTTCTCTGGTTTGCTTTGGCTTTCTCTAGTCAATTTGTAAGTTGTAAAGAAGGCTTTCTGAAATTAAAAAATTAAGTTGGTAGAGAATATTATTTTAAATGTGTGAATGAGTAAGCATTTGCCTTTGTTTATACAATATTAATGATATTACGTAAATAAAAAGTACACATTTTGCCAAATTTGGTTTGATATTTATGTTCATAAGAAAATATTCATGATTTAAGCTTTAAAGTATTCTCTTAAGATAATTTACCTTAATTGTTATTGAGACCATTATTTCATATTCAGTGTATATGTTTGCTGTGCAACTGGAATTTACCTTTTTCTTTTACTGGCTTTTTTTTGAGACGGGGGCATACTTGCAGAAAAATCATGAAAAACAAATTTTCTCCATCAGGAAATAGTTGATGTAAACATGGCCAAAGCCTTATAGTTATTTGTTAAATTTTATTACAACTTGCTCTAAGAGCTAATTATTACTGGTATTTATTTTTTGGTAACTTCTGTTTACAGAGCCACTCATTTAATAAGGGTCTGCCAAATTTGACAGTTCCGGTGTATAATTAACTTTTATTCAGAACACTGACTGTGGCTTGTGTACATGGATTTTAGAATTGAGTTATAATTTAAATGTCTTTAAAATATATTTTCGCTGGTGGATGATGGTAACTGTTTACAACATAAAAAAATTACCTGAAGCAATTTAATGTGCTTTCATATGTAATGTTTTAAAATCTCTTTTAGAAAGCAGGCTAACATTGAAATAACTTAGTGTATAGTATAATAAACAGTGTGCTGCACTTTTCAAGGTTTTATGCTTATTTCAGAATGCCTATTCTGGGATGTCAAAAATATTACAATCAGATACAGTGAGTATCATTCTGTTTTTTTTAAAGTCCCAGAATAGGACATTCTGTATTTTTACAGATAAATTTGAAAGTTTTGTTTCCATGCCTAGGAGTTAATTTAGAGTGGGGTAGGGAGAATAAAAATGGATTAAAGTTAATTACCTGCTAAATCTATTCTTACCTATTCATCTGTAAGGGGACAGTGAACCCACAATTGGAGAGCAAGGTGAGACAAGAGCTAGTAATGGTTTAGTTCTGCAAACCAAGGTCATGCCAATTCCACACTAAGTAAAATGCACGGGAAAAAAGAAATCAGGTCACAGGTTAATTAAACGGGAATACTGTGCCACCAGCAGCGCAGGATCTTGTATTATGTTAGCACATTACTGAATTGGAAGCAAGAATTTTATCAATGTTGCTTTGTTGGAACCTTACTTTATTCCCATAGAATTTTCTATATAGTATTTGAGGAGCCCTGACCGTGATTTGTCATAAATGTTCGAGGTTGCGGGCATGTAGAAGTTCCTTTATTCGTTTGTTTAACTTGATGGAGATGAATAAATACACATGTAATAAATTTTGAATATATTTAATATTACCATTTTGAGATGAAGTTTACTGTTTTCTCAACTTGAAAATTTAAACATTTTTATCGCAGTTAGGTTCTCAGTATTTTTAGAATATTTACAAAATAATTGGTATTAGAAAAACATTCAGATATATTTTTCATTAGTTAATCCAAATACAACCAAAAGAATGTCACAGTGAATTGTTAAAAGATCTGATTATGCACTGCAAGCAAAGTGATAATGTATTATATATTGTACCAAAAAAGATAGCAAAGTGACTTTGAAATAAACCAAAGGAAGGAGTTGCAGTGGAGTAAGTTTTATAAGAGAGATGTACTGTGGTGCTGTAAGCAGCCTTCTGTTTACTTCACTGATTACATTCTTTCCTTGATGTTACAGAAACAGCATTATGAAAGGAGTGAGAAAATCATAGAAAAAATTTTAAGAAAAGTTTTTTCTTTTTCTTTCAATTTGCTGTTTTTTCCCTAATGTAGGCAGTTTTGTGAGAAGATCCTAAGCTACATAAGTAATATCTGATGTATAGTAATTTCATGCATATTAAGCATTAGCTATTGTCAATGGAACAGACCATTTCAAAATAAAATATACTTTCATTATACTTGTCCAAATATGACCTTTTTGTTGTTACGTGCATCTCAGATTTATTTATATAAATGTTTTAACACTTAGAAAAAGATAAGATCAAACAACAAAGGTGTCAGCCTAATCATCAGTCATAACTTTATGTCCACATTTTCTGGTAGATGGATTTTGACTATTAATTTGGTTTTGTATGTTTTCTCTATGTGATATTTGTGCATTATTAGATGACTAGACTGGCCAAGGCAGACCTGTTACACTTGCCTGAGTTAGGCATTGTTTGCCATGCCACTAAACCTGCCGTCAAGTGAAACCTTCATTGGGGAAATGAGATCGGAGTCTGAACCGCAGAAGATGGACGCCCTGTCTCTGTTTTTTATTGTTTTACTTTAATTTCATTTTTTTTCTTTATTTTGTCCCTTTTTTTTGTTTTTTTTTGTTTTTGTTTTTGTTTTGTTAAATCTCTTTCACTTTAACTTGTGAGCTGGTTTTCCAGTTCTTTGTAAATGGTATTCCATTAAGGGTTCATAACATTGCATTGCAAGTTATATTGGGAGATGATCAGCAGAGCTCAAGCTTAAGATAAAATAAACTTTCACAGTAAATTAGGATACAGTGTTGTGAGGCTCAGTATGAATCTTAATTGGTGTTTATAGGTTGATCAGGTACATTTTGTTCTTGAAACACTAAAACACTGATGAGATTCTTAGGTACACTTTCTGACCTCAGTGCAACATTTTTGCAGTTTTTCTCTCAGGTCTACATCTCATAAAAACCAACCAGTAGCATCCTTCTCCCTACAATTTTAGGCATACAAAATCATCAAGGAAAATAAGTAAATATTTGGTAACAATCTGGGGGTAGAGGACCAAAAGAGACTTTCACTTTTATGATAGTTATTCATTATCGAAAATAACTTATATCTTTAAATTTTAAAGACTTAGTTGCCTATGTGGGAAATGAATATTTGAGAAACTGTTGAATACTTATGTGTTTGTTGAACTTTTTGTTGAAAAACTCTCAGGTTACTAGCTTCTAAATGGATTCTGAGATTAGGACTAGTACTTTAATACCGTAAGAGACATTGTTTTTCCTCAGTTGTTGAGTATAGATTGTGAAAAATGTTAAATGCTTATTCATTTTATACTTTTACATATTGATAGTATTTAGAGGGTAAATTTGGTAGAATTCTATCTTGGAAACTAAGCAGTGGAGCTTCTTTAAGTATCTTTAATAGTAATTGGAATAAGAAAAAAACTGTACTTACAGTTAGACTTAATATTTGTAATATTTTTTATTTTTTATACTGTGAGGGGCAGTGAGAGTCAGATAACTTATTGGTATTTATTTTTATTTTTATATTTTTTTAAGCCAGAAATGAAAGGCTTTATAATATTAAGTGGTCACCTTTTGACCTGTGTTAAATAACATTTTTTTTTGTGCGTAGTCTTTTTAGACTATCTTGTATGGATAGTTTTGCTTATTTAATTGATAAATAATATTAAGTTAGGACATTATTAGAATAGAGCCCTTAATTTGTATTTTAGGTGTATATATTAGGGTAGCAAAGCACAGGGTTTGCACCTGAGGATTTATTAGGATGTGTTCAGTTTTTATAAACATTTAAAAAATAATGCCTATTTATAACAAAACAGGTCTTATAGCAGTATAAAGAGTATAGTATATATGTGGGTATACAGATGTGTTAATAGTAGTAACTGAGAAATATATCGTTATTCGATGTTTTCAGTAAGGCCTACCTACCTTTTATTTATCTTTATGCATGTTAAAAAAAAATCTGTGCTTACACAGAATATACACTGAAATAATAAAATGACTTTGTTCTTGAAATTAGTAATACAGACTTAGATGTTGCAAAGATTAGAAAAAAAGATATTTGCTAAAGCTAATAAAATGTCATTTTTCTGTTCCTATAAATAAGGCGTAACCATTATTTAAAGCAAGTTTTCAAATCCATCTTGAATTCCATTCACGTTTAGAGATATGTTCAGATAATATCGTTTAGAGGTTTTCTTCTCTGCACATCTGGTTGTCTTAGAGTTTTTACCCCTAAAACCCAGCATGGTGCTTTTGAAAATTTACTCCATATGCTATTTTCAATTTAGTGTGACTTTGTACACTGTTTAAATTACTTTCGAAGACTCCATAATGGAAATGCATAGCCAACTACTACATAATTATGAATAAATAGTTCTTCTAAATTAGCTATATGTAGATAACTGTTTTGGAAAAATTTTTTGGGGGGTGGGCGAGAGAGAAGACCAAGAACAATCCATGAAAGTTTCAATCCTTATCAGAATTAATTGATTAAAATTTAGTAATATGACAAATTGATATTCTAATTTCAGAGTAAATTTTTCAACTTTTAGTTGTAGGGATTTTTTTTCTTCGTGTTTAGGATTATTATAGTAGTATTGTCATTATTAGTCAATTATGATGTTTATAAGCAAGTCATTTAGACATTAACCCCTCTTCAGATAAGTATGCATAAATTGGTTCTAAAAGTCAATGGTTTTAGAAGTTTCCTGAGACTAGGGAACTTTTTATGTTCTAAAAAATTTTAGCAGTTTTCTAAGGCATATTCTTTGGAACTGGATTCTTTTGGGCATCTCTGACATTGTTGGTAAGGTGCCTTATTAACTGAATGGGTGTAGGCTTCCTTTTAAATTCAAGTTGATTACATGCAGTAGGTGTTTGTTTTTTTTCCTGTCTGCTTGAAATTAAATAGAATTTATTGGAAGAGTTATCAAAATTGTTTGCATCACAACTAGGTAGTTTCAATAACAGGATAAGGTCACTCAGTAAGGAACAAATTTCAATTCGCACATATTTGTTTTTTCTTTTTCTTTTTTTTGACTAATTTGGTTATTTGCCATTTCTGGGGATTAAACTTTAAAAAATGTTCTTCTTTTCTGTATCTGATGTTCTGTGTGCTATTAGTGATGCAGCCAACACGAACGGTTGTCATGTGTAACACAACTTTCGATCACCGCGAAAACACCGTCCTGGGAAAGCGTCCATGCTTGATATCGTTTGGTTCATGAACATTAAGTTTCCAGTACAGGTGACCCATAGCTCAAAGTGTTAAATAATTGTCTACATTATTCAATTTTTAAAATAATATTCCATTAATGAGATTGTTAGTCTTTGAAGTTTTGCTCACTTTTATTTTTCCTAGTAGAGCAGGATAAAAGGAAAGACTTAAGTTCTAATTTATTTCTTTATACGGATCTGATAGATTCATTTATTATTATTATTTTTTAAGTGCAAGGGTAATTGTAAAATCATAGTGTAAAGTTCGTGTGGTGTTTCTGCTTTCTGTAATGTTTGGATCTTGCTTCTGCAGGTAAAATCCCAGAGGAATCCAAAGCCCTCTCTTTATTGGCTCCTGCTCCAACCATGACAAGTCTGATGCCTGGTGCAGGCTTGCTTCCCATACCGACCCCAAATCCCTTGACTACAGTAAGTACTATACACCCTCTTTTAAAAGGGGTGAATGTTCAGCTGTGTAATCAGTTGAGTAAATAGATTAGAAATTTTTTATTTTGAAATTTTTTTTAAATGGAGAGGATTCTAAATGTGTACTTAATTTTTCCCCCTCACATCGTCACTAACTTAAACTACCCTTTGGAATTCCGAAGTAATTGGAGATTCATTTAAATTTGAGAACTAAAAATTGATTATTCACTAGACAATCAGTTCTTGAAATTCAGCATTTTTAGACAGCACAGTGAATAGGAGAATCCAGCTAACTATATTTCCTAGTTCATGAGAACTAAATTTATTTTAAAAATATGAAGTGATCCACAGCCTTGATAGTGGAAAAAAATATCTCATGGAAGCATTTGTCTAATTGAGAAAAATGAAACAATATAAAAACATGGCAAAATATTTTTTCATCACCTTGAATTAAATAGTAATTTAATGCCTCCTTTGTGATTTCCAAGTGGCGTTAAAAAAAGATTTTGCCCTTATCTAACTCTTGGTTTTTATATAAAGGATTCTAGTCATATTTATTTTAAAAGAAGGATCATTTTTCTTTAAAAATAAACCCCAGACAAAAAACTCACCTTCATTGAAAGCTTTATCTAGCTTCATGGTGCTAGTTTATCAGGGAGTGAACTAATGAGCTTTATGATTATAGTTAATTTATCCAAGTCAAAAGAGTGGTTTCTGAAACTTCGAAGTGCTAAATTTTAGGTGTTTTAACTTTTACATAATGTTCTGCTGGAGACTTGCTCTGTGATCCATAGGGAGAAATGCTTTTTAATCGAACATTTGATCATTTGACTTGAACTTTCTAGAAATTTTATTTTGGGTATATTATTATGGTGTATTTTAATATTTTAATTCCTAGATCACCATCTCCTTCCCCTAAAATATTTTCTTGCTATCTTCAACATTTTTAGGACTTATAAAGTTTTTACTATTTAATTTGTTGCCCTGAGGGGAAATTGTTTCCTCTTAATTCAGCTGTAGATATCTAATTTATGAGGAATTATTTAGTTAGAAGATGGAGGGAAAGTGGCCCACTGTGTTTTGGCTTCTGGCTTCCCTCTCTGACCTTTCTTTCTACCTGTTTTCCTGCCTCACTCTTACTTCAGCCACATTATGTTGGCTTTGTTGGTTCTTGGACATGCCAAGCATATTTCTTCCTTAGGGCTTTTGTACTTATTCACCTTCTGCCTAGAACTTTATTTTCCAGACATTAAAAAAGTTTACTTTTAAACTCTTTTATAAGAGTGAAACTGTTCATCAGGTTTGTATTTAAAAATCACATCTTCAGGGAGGCCAGAGTTTCTGTGTTGGAAGGCAGGTGTTAATCTGGAGTCCAGATCATCTTTAACCCATCAAAGACTGAAAGGGCAACTAAATACATGGGTTACTTAGAGCGGGGCTAGAAAGTAGATTAATCTAAAGGAGGGCAATTGTATTACAGAGCAGCCACATCCAATAGAACTTTCTGCTATGATAGAAATGTCTGTATCTGTACTATTGAGTGTGGTAGCCACTAGCAGTCGAGCTATTGAGCACTTGAAATATGGCTCATGTGACTGAGGCAACTGAACTTTTTTTTTTTAACGCCTACAGCATCTAGTTGGTATTCCTAGGTGGTCCTCCATTCAAGTGCTAACCAGGCCCGACCCTCCTTAGCTTCTGAGATCAAATGGGATCGGACTCGTTCAGAGTGGCATGGCCGGAGATTGAATTTTAATTAATTAAAATTCAAATAACCATGTGCGATTAGTGACTACCAAATAGCACAGGTTTAAAAGAATGGTTTAGAAGAATAGTATAATGAAAAGAAAGACAGGAAAGTTTCTAAAAAAGAACTGAATGATCCGTAAATTTGAAAAACAAATGGGTTGGATTAGATAGATGGTTTGAAAAAGCTCATTCCAGATCTATAATTAATATGTGCCAGTGGAGAAATTTGATGGTCACAGGGACTGACAGTTGAGAATGCCTGGAACGGCATATTTAATGCTTTAAATCTGTGTAAAACTAACAATAAGACTCATATTTGTGATTTAGGTTAACTATAATTCTTTTGCATAGTAAAATAAATTAAGGTATGACTCTCAATTATCTGTGCCCATAGAAGACAAGATGGGGGGAAAAGGAGTGTGATTATAGAAGCAACACATAGAGAGAGGCTGGGCTCAAAGGGTGTTGGCCTTGACTCAGAGATCATCTACCCATTTTGATCTATATAAAGATACTTTCTACAACTTTAAGATAACTTGAAATGGTGATAGTGAGCAACAAATCTAAGATCTGTTAGTAGTAAGAGTGTAAATGAGGCTTTCTATAAGGTCAGGGAAAACCTCTTAGAGGGGATGATTGATCTGATGCTTGAAGGATTCAGCAGGCAGAAGCAGGGAGAAGAGCTTTCTAGGCAGAAGGAACACCAAGTGAAAAGCCCTAAGGTGGGAAAAATTTGTGTGTTCAAAGTACAGAATGGTAGTCAGTGTGGTTGAATAGTGAGTGGGGTGAGAGGGTAGTATGTGTTTAGAAATTAGAGGGATAGATAGAGCACTGATCAAATAGGGCTTATTAGGTCTGAATTTTATTCTAAAGATTACTGTGGAGTCTGAATTTTATTCTAAAGATAACTAGAAGCCATTGATGAGTTTTAGACAAGGGTAAGACATGATTTGATGTGTTTTTAAAAATCACATAAGTAATACCTGTTTCATAAACTTGTATTTTCACCTGTAGGAAGTGTTATTCACAGTTGTTAAGTCTTAGTAGTTTTGCAACAATATAACAACATTCAAAATTTTCTTAAATTGCGTTAAATGGAAATGAAAGTCGTAGTTTGAGAGGTTTTCATTAATTTCGTGTAACTTTCCATTTTTATATTTTGAGATTTCTATTTTTTCTAGTTTAAATTCACATTAAAAACATGTTCCTTAATGCTTGAACTAAAAACTGAATTTAGTAATGCTACAGTAGATTATTCAAAAGTTTTTGTCCTTTTCCTACAATAGTGTAAGTAAGGTTTTAATATTTTAGAGTTTTTGTTGTTGTTGTTGTTAGGTAAACTTTGCCCGTTTTAATTTTAGTCTGTGCATGGTGGTACCCTGCTTTGACCACTTGGTAGCTGAGTAGCTTTGGGAAAATTAATTTTTCTAAGTTTCTTTATCTGTGAAATTGGCATAATAATAACACTTATCTCTTAAGATTGAGATGAGGATTAATAACCCAGCAAAAATTAGATTCTATGATTGTTCATTATTAAGAGCTCTATTACACAGTGTTGAATGCCCAAAGTACAGTTGGTTCTCATTATTTGTGAATTCACCCATTAACTAAAATTTATTTGAAACTTGAAAATCAATATTTGTGGCACTTTTGTAGTTGTTCATTGACACACCCAGAATGATGAAAAATTTGAATAGTTCAGTACGTACATTCCCAGATGAAGTCAAATAGAGCAACACTTCTTGTTTCAGCTATAATGCTCTACAGGCATACCTCATTTTATTGCACTTTGCTTTATTATGCGTCACAGATGTGGGTTTTGTTTGTTTGTTTTTTTACAATTTGAAGGTAAGACCCTCCACCAGCAAAAAGATTACAGCTTGCCTTATTGTGGTGTTCTGGAACTGAACCTGTAATATCTCTGGGGCATGGTGGTAAATATGTGTCCTTTTTGTGGGTGGTTTAATGCCATGTTTTTCACATATTTGTACTTTTTGTTAGTGATTTCACTATTTAAATTAGCCCTTACATTCAGTGCTAAAGTGCTGCCTAGTCTTTCTAAGGACTGGAAGGCTGTGATTTGCCTCATAGAGGAATAATGTGTGTGAGATAGGATTCATTCAGGAATGAGTTGATAGTGCTTCTGTGAGTTCATGTTGATGAATCAACAATGTATATTAAATAAGGTGACTTTAAACAGAAACACATTAAAAGAAGTTTATGTTTTTATCAGCTGATGAAAATATTGTGACTAGAGGCTTGTAGGAACCTGGCCTCGTATTTTTCCTAGAAGCAATGATTCAGTATTCAATAATTCAGTGTTTGTGGTAACTTTATAGTGCATAAGTACTGCAAGTAATGAGAATTAACTCTGTTTTTAGTATTAAGTTTAAAAGCAGTTAAAATATTCCGATAGTTAAGAACTATGTTGTATTTCTAATTACATTCAAAACTACTGTGACCTCAGTCTTAATTCAGACATAAACCTGGTTTAAGGTTAGGAGTTCCAAGTTTCTTCCCATTCATGTTGAGTTGATCATTTCTTTTCAAGATTAGAGAATGATAATATTGATACTAACAGAAAATATGTACTTTTTTATTTTATAGCTGGGTGTTTCCCTTAGCAGTTTGGGAGCCATACCAGCAGCAGCACTAGACCCCAACATTGCAACACTTGGAGAGATACCACAGCCACCACTTATGGGAAATGTGGATCCTTCCAAAATTGATGAAATTAGGAGAACAGTCTATGTTGGCAATTTGAATTCCCAGGTAACTAATTTAAGAAGAAACTTGAGTGGTGGGACCTCTTACACTTTCCCCCTTCTTAAAAATCATATTGATAAAGTAATATTTACTTGATTTTTAAAAAATGGTATAATTTATTAAAGCGTTACGTTGTTTTTTTCAGACAACGACAGCTGATCAACTACTTGAATTTTTTAAACAAGTTGGAGAAGTGAAGTTTGTGCGGATGGCAGGTGATGAGACTCAGCCAACTCGGTTTGCTTTTGTGGAATTTGCAGACCAAAATTCTGTACCAAGGGCCCTTGCTTTTAATGGAGTTATGTTTGGAGACAGGCCACTGAAGTAAGAAACCCTAAACAAAGAAATTTTAATGATTTTGAAAAACTTTAAAGTATTTTTGATGTAATTAAGGCTTCTTTTTTTCTTTTTAATAGTAATTGGCAATTATGGAAAGGAAGACTTTGTGTTAAGTATAAATGAATACCTGAGATACTTATCATTTTAGCCTTTAAGGTTGTATTTGAAGACGTCTTATTTTCTGTTTTATAAGGTTTAATTTAATGTTAACATTGATTATATACCCTACACAATGATTATAGGTCTTTTCCCAGAAACTTTAACAAGTTAGGTTGATTTTGCATTATGACTAGATTAACACTTTAACATGTGAGTTGAACTTAAGTTATACAGTTAATAAGAATTTTGGTAAATCCAAAATCCTAGGAAGAAAGTAATATTAAGTACCCAGAAATGTTTTAAATCATACATTTCGAGTTTAAGGTTTGCTCACATCCCTGTTTGCAAAATGAAAAATTCATGTAGCCTGTCCGATACTCAAGACCAGAAATTCTATTTCATGCAGTTTATTGAGGTAACAGTTTTATATGAATTTCATAGATAATTGCCTTAGTTATACCGTTTGATCAGGATTCTTCTGTTAAAGGATAAATAACTGTTCTTGGTGAATATTTGTCTTTGTGCGGAAGGAGTAAAGCGAGACACACCGAATTCATTTATGTACGTCAGAGAAACCACTCTTACCTAGTAGGGGAAGAGTTTTATCAGATGCCTCCCACGTTCACAGCTGTGTCTGACTCAGCCATGGTCTAGAGTTGATTAAAATGGTGTACATAATATGCAGCTTCCCCTTTCTCCTCTCCCAGGGTGCAGAGATTATCAACAAAATCTTATAATCTAAGAATAGAAATGATTCATTTTAATAACTGGTGTCAACATTTTAATGTTGGAAAAGCACTTGTTCTGGTCTATTCAAGTTGTTAAAGAAATCAACTAGGATTCAGTTTTTCCTTTTTCCTTGCTTTTGGCTTTGTTAGCAAGAGGCGATGGCATGTGGGAATGAGATTAATCATGGTGTTGAGTCTGGTTTTGGTTATTCTGTATTAAGCTATGTTAATGTGTCTTCAAGATGTCGATTTTTAAATATGTATAGCATGTAAATATTTGTTTAATGTTTTGTAAAATATGGTGTATATTTGTGATATGCTAATGTTTTTAATTTAGAATAAATCACTCCAACAATGCAATAGTAAAACCCCCTGAGATGACACCTCAGGCTGCAGCTAAGGAGTTAGAAGAAGTAATGAAGCGAGTACGAGAGGCTCAGTCATTTATCTCAGCAGCTATTGAACCAGGTAAGGCCATAGTGTTGTTACATAGGTCATAGTGTAAGATCATAGAGTCTTAGAACTGGAAGGAATTTTAGAAATTATCTTGTTCAGTCCCTTCATTTTACAAACAAGAAGAGTGAAACTCAAGAATGAGTAAGTGACTCACTAGTGTTAAAGGTTAATAAACTGCTTGACAAAAATGTCTTTTCCTATGATACTGAATTGAGGCGCATTAGCCTGAGCTAATCAGTTTTTTATATTTTAAGAGCAAAATAGTGCTCAAAACTGATTTGCTTAAAGCAAAGTATAAATGTTATTGTGAGGCTAAAAAGAAGAATAAATATATTTAAAATGTTATGGTTAAGCAGATTCACTTCTCTTCCAAGTTTTACTTTTAAAAATAAAAAGCCCATGATTTAGGAAAAATAACATTTTATTTTAGGAAGATAATGGAACACCTACCTTTTCAAACTTCTGTGTTATTAACTAAAATTTTAAAATCCAATCTAAAAATGTCTAGATGGTTTACATTTGAGCAAATTTTCTAAATTAGCACTCAGAATTTAAGCTTCAATTCTAGCAAAATAAACGGAGAAAGGATTTAAAATCACTGTCATAGGAATTACAGACATGTTATAATCGTACATTATGGCAGCAACAAAATATTACGAACAGCTGTTTATAATCATCTGGTTTATATGTACTGCTGCAGGGTGGCTGCACTCAACGAGTTTATGCAATGACTTTCTTGGATGTTTCTGAAGGATAATTGCACAGGAGGAGGATGTACAGAGAGTAGGCCCCTTGCACTATATGTGGTACATTCCACTTGTGCCTAATTATTAACTGGGATCTTTAATTGTTCTGAGCTTACACTGCAAAGTGGTTTTTTCCTCCCAGAGTCTGGAAAGAGCAGTGAAAGAAAAGGCGGTCGATCTCGTTCCCATACTCGTTCAAAATCCAGGTCTAGCTCAAAATCCCATTCTAGAAGGAAAAGATCACAATCAAAACACAGGTGAGAATTTCTATCATTTAATTTTTTTTGGCTTTGTACTTTAAAAGTTAAGATTTCTGAGTTTTTGTCTAAATATTTGAATTTAGAAATTTCAGTAGAGTTCACCAGGAAGTATAGTTACCATTAAATATTGCTTTAATTGTATATACTTAAGAATAAATTTTATCTAATATATAATTTTATTTCAATTAATTTTCAGTTTTAGAAGTTGATTTTCTATCTTAAGATGCTCTGTATCTAATTTTTCTAATGGTAAAGTAGTCTTTGTTAAGAACTGGCAAAAACTTTTCATGTTGGGAGTAGGGAACCATGTATATGGTGATGCTGAAAATATTGTGAAGTTGCAGCTTTCATCTGCCCCTCAGTCCACTCAAGGGCTGGTTTCAAGTATTACTTATCGCTAGTACCATGAGTCAAATGGGGCAGTTTAGGTCCTCGGTACTCTCTGTGATAAGAGCCTCCAATACCCACTTTGGGACCTGAAACACAGGAGTAACTTAGAGCTTTAGCTCCAGCTATCTATTGTATTGTGTAAACTCTGTGTCTGTTCTGTTTGTCTTATTTTTGAGCATAGCTCTGTTGCTTTAATTTTGTTTTTAAATCTGTTGTGTTTGGTACAAAGAGAACCTCTTGCAACATCGTCTTGATTGGAAGCACCCTAAGAATCATGTCTAAATTGATAAGTTTTATTCTTGTCTTTAACATGGAGGGGGCTGTTACTGAAATGTGAAAATGTGTATAGTGGATATATATACACATACTATGGTTAAACAGAAGAGATACAGAAAAGTGTGTGTGCATTTGTATGTGTGTGTGGTGTGGGAGAATTTAGAGAAGGGAGGGTTTAAGGGGGGAGGAAGCCAGTATGCTGTATGTTGAACTTCATTAGTAAGCTCAGTTTAGCCTGTTTTTCTGTGATGCTTAATGAGATTGAAATGGCGAGATGGGAAAATATGATATTACTTTTTTGACTCTAGGAATACTAAATACTTCTTGCTATTTACTGGTGTATTACACTTCTCTATTACGCTTAGTGTGCAAAATCTGTTTTGGGGTATAGCTTTACCGTCTCTTCTTCCATTCAAGGCTTTATAGTAAGCAAGCAAGTTCATTCAGATCCAAGTGAACGAAGTTGTTTCATGTACAAGGAATGAGATAGTGCATCAGAAGCCAGAATTGGAGAAGAAAAGTGATATAGAAGCATTGGTGCTAGATTGGGGATATTTTCTTAGGTTGACAGGATGTGGCAAATGTAAAGGAGATCAATGAAATACAGAATTGAGCTGAAGAGTAGCCACTTTTCTGAGGGGGGAAAAAAAAGACCAATGACCTGAACCTCATTTTGTGTTGGTCAGGAACCATGCTCCAAATCTAATACCTTAGTGGTTTTCTAAGGCTAGGTAGGATAAAGCAAAACTTGATTGACATCATTGTTTCCTTGATTATCTCTGAGAAGCTTTATCTGTTGTAGCAGTAGTTTATCTTTATCCTCTTTAAGGTTTTTGCTGTTATCATTTTAAGTATATCTGGATATTTTCACCTTCCAAAGGTTAGCGGGGCAGCGAGGATTATTTAGTCTAAAATGAAGTTGTTATTCATGAGAGTGCTTTCATGTAGGTCTAACTATGTAACAATATAAATTACTTATTCTTGGCATGCATACAGTTGACCCTTGAACAGCATAGGTCTGAACTGTGAGAGTCCACTTTTAAGTGGATTTTTTTTCAATAAATATATATAGTCAGCTCTCCATATTAATGGGCTTAAAATCTGTGGATTCAACCAACCTCGGATCGAAGACAGTACTTCAGTCCACAGTTGGTAATCCGTGGATGTGAAAGGCCAACTATATGCTTGTGCTATGGCCTTTTTATGTAGGGGACT